GGACTAGATTGGTACGAAAGTGCATTTGATGCTTCTGAAAACAATGTTGGGGTATCTTACATTTGAGTTCGACTAAATTGGCACTGCCTAATGTACTGTGCTGTCGGTAACGTTCCGTCATAGCGCACCATATGGTCATGAGTTTAAAGGATGTTTAAGTAGCGTGTTGCACAGACGGATGTTCTGGAGGTTAATATGCTACTTTATAGTTGCTTTGAGTTTCATTTGCACTGTTGTAACATCGTGGTAACGGTTAAAGGTTCCAATGCAACTGTAAATAAAGCTTTATTTGGGAAAAGAAAGATTACTAACGTACAAGCGATACATTGCGAATGCACAAGCATAACAGTGTAAAAGTAAAATTGATAAAACAATGCCAGCTATACGTTTAAAAAATTTAATACAGTACGCACTGGTGATTTCAATGGATGAAGACTGATCGACGCACATCTGCTGAAGGTACGACTGGCTGAACAAATGGAAACGGATTAAAACTCAACGTTGATATTCGTACATACCGCTTAATTTCTTTGGACCAAATTCGGGGAAAACGGTTTAGCAACCCAATTGACTGGATCCCAGTAAATGTACTCGATTGGTACTCGCCAGTTAGCCAGATGCTCTATTCGACGATACCAGACATGTCGCGTTTCGTGGTACCTCCATCCGAAAGTCAAAAGACAATTTATGACGTGGTTAGTTGCAGCCTCGCCATCCACAAAATAGTAGCGAAAAAACAAGAACGTTTCCAGGCTGGTTATATCCAAGAATCCCCATCCAACTTCCCGATCGCATGGAAGGAACGACATTTCGACAATGACCAGAGAAATATTGAAATCGCACACGTCGCGAATGGTGATTTCTGATTGGTCAAATCTATCGATTACATTGCTAAACCTAATGAACCTTCTGGCTGTAGCTGTTTATTTTCTAACTCTTTAAAAGGATAATTTAAGTTTTCAAGCAGACAAAGTTAGCAAATGTACAAGCAAAAACGATTGTGTGGGACGAAACATGACGGAGGTCATTCAGACAGGCAACTACTGTATCTCTGAAAGATCGTCAAGAGTGGCAAATCTTCATGTTATATGGAAATGGTAATGCACAGCATCTGAAGGAGGTTTATAAGAAAAAACGCACTTATGCGGTAACAATTTGAAAGATTCATAGAAAGTGATAACTATGCTCATTTTTCAGAAAGCATTATTATCGCGCTACATCACTGTGAGCGACTTACTTTTCTTGAAAACACTTTGAGTCACGGGTTTACTTTTACATACCCAGATTATGAGCAAAGAATTTGTTCCGCCCGTGGCTATTTTTTATACAAATGTTATAAATGCATGTTTGCGAAAAAGCGATCCAGATTGTTGGTTGCCAATTTTTACTGCTGCGAAAAGGCAGGCGGCGAAAAATCGGCGAGCAGAACCTGCTCGTCGAATAAATCAGCCGGGGGCATATCAGTACTGCAAT